TAATATTTTCTGCTTTATCTGTCGAGTTAATTGAGCTCTTAGGACTTGGATTTGGTCATTTGCTCTCCCCTTCAGTGAGCATGTGATACCGACCATTTCATCTCATTAGCACTTGTGATTTATTTAAATGATGGTTTTTTTAGATTCATAACAAATTTGATTGATTAAAATTTTAGAACTGAATTGTTATTCTATTCACAACCATAGATGCAAGTTACCCACAACTAAATTTGAGCTACAGAAAGACTAGTTTCATTTTTCTTCAGCTTCATTCGTAGACCTCATCACGTTGGCGACATAGAACCCCGTATACGAACCAACAGAGAAACAATAGTCATTTTCATTATTTTCCTTGGGTTCTTTCAGGTTTGCAGCCAAACGACTAGAAATTGAGGTTGTTTCATCATCCGTCTCATCATCTAACAATTCACTTTCAGATTCACTGTAAGAACTACTTTTATCTGCTCGTGGTTTTTCTGCAAGATTTTTAGCTTCTGTTTGCTCACTGGCTTTAGGACTAATGTTCTTTTGCTGTTCTTTAGCTGGCAAATCTTTATCCTTTTACACTGCTTAAGTTATCAGTGTTGGTTGTTTAACGTGAAGAATGCCATTTTCAAACTTTGCACTGATTTTTCTTTTGTTAATTTTCTGCAACAGGAAAATCCTTCTGAAACCTTTGCCATTTGTTCTGCGAAGTCGACCTTTGTCCACTGATCTTCAGAATTCTTGTTCTGGTCAGTTGAACCCTCAGCTGGTCCTTCTTGAAACTGGTGTGCATATGAAATCAATACATAGCACAAGATAGAGAATAACCTTTCAAGGTTAGCAATGAAAATTATAAAGAAAATAACAATATTCGTCGTGAAGTGGATATATAACTTCTGAGAATAGTGAACGTTGAATTTGGAATGTGCCTTCTTTTGTTCTTCCCAGACTAATCTCATATAGTGGTAAAACTTTTTATGGGTCACTGTAATTTCTCATGTAAGCAGTACTTGCAACGTGCAGTAGACGGACTCATACTACATGTCTTGTAGAAAACTTAAAGAGTATTATGTATATATTTGTATTGAGAAGTGCACTACTGCTTTTAAGTCCTGGATTCGTTTATAAATCACTTTCCGTCCTATAAAAGCAAGTGTGCTTCATGCAACACTTCTGTGGAATACGCAAAAATTTTGAATTAGTGGGTTCTGCTCTCTATACTTGCACGTGCACCCGCTCACACATGTACACATATATGTAGTCCGAGTTAGATGCAATTGATTCTCTCCTATTCGTATCTAGTCTAAGGTTGTCACTGATTTGAGGAGGAAGAAACAGATAGTGAATGGCAGGAATATTGATTCTCTCCTATTCGTATCTAGTCTAAGTCTGTCACTGCTTCGATGATGGCACAAAATCTTCATATACTTGAGTTGGTACAGCAGTTGTAGCTCCCTTTAAATCCATTTTTTGTGTTTCTTTTCTTACTTTTGCTAGTATNGAAAGACTAGTTTCATTTTTCTTCAGCTTCATTCGTAGACCTCATCATGTTGGCGACATAGACCCCGTATACGAACCAACAGAGAAACAATAGTCATTTTCATTATTTTCCTTGGGTTCTTTCAGGTTTGCAGCCAAACGACTAGAAATTGAGGTTGTTTCATCATCCGTCTCATCATCTAACAATTCACTTTCAGATTCACTGTAAGAACTACTTTTATCTGCTCGTGGTTTTTCTGCAAGATTTTTAGCTTCTGTTTGCTCACTGGCTTTAGGACTAATGTTCTTTTGCTCTTCTTTAGCTGGCAAATCTTTATCCTTTTACACTGCTTAAGTTATCAGTGTTGGTTGTTTAACGTGAAGAATGCCATTTTCAAACTTTGCACTGATTTTTCTTTTGTTAATTTTCTGCAACAGGAAAATCCTTCTGAAACCTTTGCCATTTGTTCTGCGAAGTCGACCTTTGTCCACTGATCTTCAGAATTCTTGTTCTGGTCAGTTGAACCCTCAGCTGGTCCTTCTTGAAACTGGTGTGCATATGAAATCAATACATAGCACAAGATAGAGAATAACCTTTCAAGGTTAGCAATGAAAATTATAAAGAAAATAACAATATTCGTCGTGAAGTGGATATATAACTTCTTTTAAGTCCTGGATTCGTTTATAAATCACTTTCCGTCCTATAAAAGCAAGTGTGCTTCATGCAACACTTCTGTGGAATACGCAAAAATTTTGAATTAGTGGGTTCTGCTCTCTATACTTGCACGTGCACCCGCTCACACATGTACACATATATGTAGTCCGAGTTAGATGCAATTGATTCTCTCCTATTCGTATCTAGTCTAAGGTTGTCACTGATTTGAGGAGGAAGAAACAGATAGTGAATGGCAGGAATATTGATTCTCTCCTATTCGTATCTAGTCTAAGTCTGTCACTGCTTCGATGATGGCACAAAATCTTCATATACTTGAGTTGGTACAGCAGTTGTAGCTCCCTTTAAATCCATTTTTTGTGTTTCTTTTCTTACTTTTGCTAGTATGCAATCTTTCCCTTTATCCTTTGTTCTTTGTTCTTGTTGATGGAAAGGATGAAGCTGTAGTGTATATATACACACAGAAAGTCCTCAAAGAAAACTTTCTTGAGATGCTCTCTTTCTTTTCTCCAAAATATATGTTCCTTAATTAATTTCAATTCTTTGTTTATAAACCTTTTTTTTCAACTATAAGGTTTTCTTGCACAATAAGAAAAACCTGAGAAGAACTCCTAAATGAGAAACCTAAAGTGTAAAGAGAGTTTCTTATTGTTGGACTTCATATTTTAGCATGAGAGAAGTTGGAAATTTTTTCAATATGGCCTCTCATTTTTCCATTATTTTTCTAATTTGTTTACTCTTTTTTCTTTAATAAATCTACTTTACTCATTTTTCTTTATCATAAGGTGATTTATCATCTTAGAATTTCGGGGTTGTGGACGTGTTTTAGGGTCATTAGACATAAAATTTAGATACATCTTGGAGTTGCGATCACAACAATTAAGNCAACTAGGCGATGTGCGACTATAATAGTTGTACATTACAAGATTATAGTAAATTATGGTAGGAAAAACTCTTCGTTACCGAAGGCAGAAGGGTATTCGGCAACTGCAGCGAAGCTGGATACGATTCGCCCCTATGATTGCGGCATGGGCATTGTAATTGCAATAACCCATTGATATAAAAGGATCAAATTTTACGAATTCATATTTTTAACTCGATTTTTTAAATTTTGAGCTACAAGTTTAAGGTGATTTTTGCGTGAAATCATCCAATGAACTGAGATAAAGATTCTATAGCTATATCTCGATTAAATACATGATTATGATCTGTCAAAAAGATCTAGATACTATTAATAATAAATAATAATTGCCATATTGTACGTTAATAATCATTAATAGAAGAATGGCATATATAATATGGATGCTATTTGTAATTGCGGTGAAGATAAAAAATTCAATGTGATTTTTTCACATTTACTAAACCATTTTATTTTTAATACTTATGCTATGAATTATAAGGGCAGAAATTTGAGAAAAGGAGTTGACTTTTAAAAAATAATTTAGTGCAAGTATAAGTGTGAATTTAACTTTTTTGTTTGTTAAAAAAAAAAGGTAAAACTTCACAATTACATAAGCAACCAAATAATTTACCCGAGTAACCTATTCCAAATTATTTAACCGACTCTACCCATTGCATGTTCATTAAATAGGAAAATGACCAAATTTATCCCTAAAGTATACGAAATAGAGCAAATTTGTCTCAAAGTGGCTTATTGCTATTTGCTACCCCTTTCGTTACTCAAATGACCCGTCTTTACCCTTATTGCTAACAGAAATAAATAAATCGAATTTAAAACGTGTCATTATGAACCCCTCTTTTAACAACATACATTATTCTATATACTATAATAATATGTTATTGTGATAAACTATATACTCTTGAATTATATATGGTATATCAAAATGACATACAATATATCAACATGGTATAAACTATACTGTGAGTACGTGATTTTTGCCCTACACTAATTACTCCCATAAACTCAAAATAAAATAATTTCTTTTAGTATTTACAGTTTTGTGGATTTTTGTGGCATTTTATGCATTTTCGTCTGTGCATTTTAATTAATAAAAAAATACAAAAATACTTGGCATGTGAATTTAGGATTTAACTTTGCAGTTTAGGATTAATTAGAAAGTCAATTGTTTTATAAAATGAAAAAATCACAAAATATAGTGTAATTTGCACTTTTAATTTTAGTCTTGATTTTTGAGTAGTTTTTGTGTTAATTTATTTTTAATTAATTGTGATAATTGTCATTTTGGGTTTAATTAGTTTTTTTAGTTAATTGAGTTTTAGGAATTAATTTAGATTTATGTTTAGTTTTAAAATTAAAAGAAATTAAAAAGAAAATTGAAAAGGAAAAGAAAAGGAAAAGGAAATAAAATAAAGAGAAGAGGGAATTGGGCCAGTCTTGATTAAACTACTCAAAGCCCAAATAATTTCTCCCCTAAACCCGTCCAAACCCACAGCCCAAACCCTGTCACACTCGGTCCGCAGCGTTTAGTCACCAAATGACACAGTTCCGAGTTTCCCCAATAAATCCAATCTCGGCCTTCCGTTCCGTCTCATCCAACGGTTCAATCACTTCCCCCACATTGTTTATAACTGTCCTAATACCCTAGAGACAACATAAGACCCCATCAGTTCACTTCGTCTCTTGCCTCATCTCAAATGAACCCTAGCCCGCCGCCCCTATTCTCCTCCGCCCTGAGGTGGCGGCGCCATCGCCAAACCCTACCAAATATACACCATAGAACCCCCATGGCTCCCTCTCCCCTAATCTACAGCCGGTTTCCCTTGAATCCTCACAGAGCTTCTCGAATCTTAAATCCAATTCGAAACCCTAAAACCCCAAATCGCCTTACCCTCGATTCTGTGGCATGCACTGGCCCGGGCCTTTGATTTTCACGTTAGCTCGATTCAACGCAAAATCGATGTTGTTCACTTGTTCTTGACAAAGAACAATTCAAGAACAGTGAATAGCATCAGTTTCGTTAAATCAAGGATTCTAGTGTTGGCTTCGAGTGTTGCTTGGTGAGTTTTCTTTCTTTTTCTGTCCGTTGTTATTTGTTTCATCTCTTGTTCTTCTTCTCTTCTTCTACGTTTGTTTGAATGGTCTGTCCTCCGTTAAAATTGTTGAAGAATTTTGGACCTGATCTTTCCCTTTAGATTAATTTGGGATTCATTTATTTCCGTTCATTTTTCAATTCTTTTGTTTTTTCAAAATTCTACAAGTTGTGCTCTGATTTTGTGTATCCGTTTTGTTTAATTTAGGCTTTAAGTTTCTGATTTTCCCTCCCTTTATTCTCATAGTTTAATTAGGTTTATTTCTATCTAATAATTTAGTTAGTTTCACGCTCTTTATGTTTGGTAATTATTCATCTTGTTAGGTTTAGTCTTGAAATCATTTGATTGGCTTTTCCTTTTTTCTCCTGCCTTCTTCAGAATACGAACTTTAGTTTGGGCTTTGGTTCGTGTCTGACCCATTTGCAAAGGGCAGCCCATTCGTTTTGGTTTAAACCATTGGGTCAATTTGGCCCATGATCCATATGTGTCTAGTTTTAGGGGGTAAAAACAGAGGGTCTGGGGGTTAATTTAGGAAATATAGGTAGGGGAATCTTTCCGTAACTGAAAAGGAAGCTTCTAGGAAGCTGGGGTAGGGGAATTCTCTGAACTTCTGATTTTTAACTAAGGTTAGCTAAGCAAAAATGAAAATTCAAAAAGGGGTAAAGTGTAAAAAATGAAAACCTAAGGTTGCCCTACTTGCCTTGCCTATAAAGGCATGTTTTCTTGCCTTGAAATGTGGCTTTTTGATATTCTGAAAGTCAGAAGAAGAGGGCTAGAAAATTTTGCATTTCCTATGGGGCTGGACTGTTTGGGCCTGCAGGTTGGGCCCATTTTCGTTCCCCTCTGTTTATTTCTATGCAAAATTTCTTGTTTAGTTAACATGAACCTCAGAATTAAAGAGGACTGGACGTTAGAATTAAGTCAACTTCGTGTGTGTCCTTTTAATAGAAACAGTCCATGGCCCATTTGGTTTCAAAGACAAGGAATTTTGAAGCGATTAGAGAGGTCTGCCATATTTAGCAAATGTAGTTTTGGCCCTCACGAATTAGTGTAGAAATGCTTTAAATAAAATAAGTTGAGGTGCGCCGCGCCAAATAAAATCAAATTGCGTGGCCCTCCTTAATCATTTCTTTAAAATACTTAGAACTCGAGGTGCGCCATTTAGCGAATTTCCATGGCCCTCACAAAGTTAACAATGTGTTAGTTGCTTTTAGGCACGTTATTTAATAATTTTATCTTCTTAAATTCGGGTGCACATTTATGTGACCCAGATCCAAATCTCAACGATGTTGAAATATGTCAAAAGCCACGGGTGCATTTATGTGACGTGAGACGTGTTTTGATAACGTTGCAATTTTCTCTAAAAAATGAATAAAAGCGGTTTAAAACTAAAATTTGCACATAGGTTCATAATTGTTTAAAATCAGATAATTTAAGCCGAATATGACAGTTGAGCGACCGTGCTAGAACCAAGAAACTCGGGAGTGGCTAACACCTTCTCTCGGGTTAACAGAATTCCTTACCCGGATTTCTGGTGCGCAGACTGTTAAACAGGTCAATCATTTCCTCGATTCGGGATTTAAACCGGTGACTTGGGACACCATAAATCTCCCAAGTGGCGACTCTGAATTTTTAATGAATAATCCCGTTTCGATTGTTACTTCAAGTTGGAAATAACTCCCTTTATTATACCCTTTTCGGGGTGTAGTGAAAAAAGGAGGTGTGACATATACAATTCGTCTTGTTCGTTAGTTCAACTCAATTTTGACCTAAAAATCCAAAAATCTCAACCAAATTAACTCAAAATTTAGCCACAGCCTCCAATTAGCATTTTTAGCACACCTCAATTAGAATCGGATTACGAAAACTATAAACTCGACAACTTAGTTTATCTGTTTCAACCATCAAGGTCCTTAACGGTACCTAATATTTTTTTTCAAGACAACTTCGAAAATCAACATTAACATCACAATCTACAAATGGGATTTTTACCTTCCTATACCATATATGAAACCTTATTACCCTCAATGTTTAAGGTTTGTGTTAATTATATTTCAGCATACCAAATTACCATTTATATACCATAATTCAAATTAGGGGTATAATTAATGCTTCATTTATATTAGGCGTTAATTTAGGAGTGTATATTCTCACATTCACCTTTACCCGCCTCTCTCTCCTCCCGCCCCCCCACACCCCCTACGTTTTACCTTCACTATCTCACGTTTACCATCAGTTGTTCTCTACAGACCCAAGATTCTACAATTTTTTCTCCATTTAATTTCACAAAATCCTAATTTGAAGTTCCATCTGATTCAAGTTGAAGTAATTTTTCTCCCAAATCATGAAAAACATCAACACTCCCAAAAAAAAACCTTCAAAATCTACATTAGCTGATATCCTATCTTTTGATTTGGGTGTTTTAACACCAAAATCACCACCAAAAAAAGCAAAATCTACACATGCAAGTGAACCTACTACTAACATTTCATCTCCTAGACAAATGCGTGTGGAGATGCGAACCAAGCTATTGCACGATGTTGATGCTGGTGGAGGTGCTAAACCAGTCGCGGAGCAACTAAAACAAAAGGGGAAAGAGTTGTGTGAAGATGATGATTTTGTTGAAGATTCCCCTAAAATTCCATCTGTTAAAAAACCCAAGGTCTCTCCTGCTTTATCAAAACCAAAAAAGAAGAAACCCTCCAAAAAAGTATCAAAATTGGTTGAGAAAAAGATTTTGCTGAAGGTAAACATTAATTATTTTCCTTTCCAGTTTTTAGTGTGATTTTGGTTGTAAAAATTTGTGGTTCAAGTGTTTTTGGTAAATTGTAGAATTGTCTTAATTTTGTAGATTAGTTGTCTCAATATTGTAGATTAGTTGTAATTGTGATTTTTAGACAGTTCATAATTGTAGTTATTTTGCAGTTGTTTTGTAGTCATTTGGGTAAATTGTAGGTAAGTGTGGGTTAAAGTATATTTTTCACTTTTTGTATGCTGCTACATTTACCTTCATACTAACTACAATTAATCTACATTTTGTGAGTTACTTGAACTAACTTTTATATTTTTGTAGTTATAGAGCTGTGGTTACCTTTTTATTCCTTCATGTTTGGAGATAATTTTTACATGTGTATATGTCCTGTAGTGTTTGTAGTTATAGGTGTGGGTAGGCTGTTCCTTTTTAAGTTATATTTTGTAGTTATTGTGTAGTTATATGTAGATTACTGCTTCTTTTTTATGCAGTCTACTAATGTTAAATAATTTATTATTTTCTGCAGAATGGCCATTACTTTGCACCACATAATGTGGATTATGGGATGCTTAGATTCCACACTTTGTGTGATCCTAGCATTCCAAGCCAAATAAAAGCGTTACTCTCTCCAAATGCTTTAAATCTTTTCAAAAACAATTGCTTTGGTTACTTTTTTTCTCTCCCTTCCATTTGCATGCAAAACCAAGCAATTCATCTACTCATGAAGTATGAATTGGCTAAGTCTAATGAATCCTTTTTTTCAGTCCTCTTGAAGGGTGAAAAATTGAATTTTGGATTGAGAGACTTTGGTTTGATTATTGGTCTAAATTGTGTGAATAAGTTTTCGGACTATGGTTACGCTTCTACTTATGTTAGCCATTTAATGAATACCTATTTTCCGAACAAACAAAGGGTTGAGAAGTGGCATTTGAAAAATATAGTAACAAATAAAGCTTGGGAAAACGATGAGGATGCAGTGAAGTTGTGCATTCTTTATCTGTTGGAATTTTTTTTTGTCCTTCTGATATAGACCATGTGTCTTTCATAGACTAGTTTAGATTCTATCTGGTAGAGTCTGGTAATTTTGAGTCATACCCATGGGGTATTAAGTCCTTCAATCAGGTTATGGAATCTGTCCGACATCGTCTAAATCCCCGTGTACATTCTTACCTCATACGGGGATGCTCATTAGCCTTGCAAGTGTGGCTTTATGAGTGTTGCTCGACCGTCAGCACGGAGCTTGCTATGAGGTGTTCTGACTCAATACCTCGCATTTTAAGATGGTCAGCTAAAAAGGGCCAGATTTGGTTAACTGCATTTGAAGAGAAGATGATCAAGCCTGAGTGGGTTAAGGTATATTTTTCAGTTTTGTATTTTGCTACATTTACCTTCATAATAACTACAATTAATCTACATTTAGTGAGTTACTGGAACTAACTGTTTTTTCCATCATTCAGTTCACAAGCATGACTGAATCTGGAGAAGAGATTGGAGTGCTTACTCTGCCAGACAAGATTCAGTATGAAGATGAACATGGTGCTCAATCATCACAGGTTCCAATTGCTGGTTCTCCAACATTTGAACCCAAACATACAGATTGTCAAGAGGACACTGAATCTGTGACTAGCAAGCTCAGGAAGTTGGAAAAGGGGATTGAGCAGGTAATATAAATAACTACAATATATTGACATTTTTGCTACAATTTATCTTCATTCCATTACAATTATTGTATGTTATACATTGTAGTTAAATTGTAGTATAATTCTATATTGAGCCCTTTTGGTATTGCACACATCTTAGTTAAATTGTACTAGAACTGTAGCACTTTGAATTAAATTACCAACTAACTATATTTTTAATCTTAGGTTGATAGAAAGTTAGATAATTTTAGGAAGGCTGTATTTCAAGAACTCTCAAGCCTTGGAGAGTTCATACATGATTCTGTGAAGAGTGTTATGAAGGTGATAAACAGGAGGTACGATGTGGACGAGTCAAAGGTAAGAATTGACATATATTTATGTACTAAAACTAATTATGACATATGAAACAAGTATACTCAAACATACACAAAATATTTAGTTTGCTGGTAGTTCAACCAAAAATAATGACCAACAACTAGGAGAGAACAACCAGCAATTTCAGTTCAATATTGGTGATCAAGTGCATGCAAGCACAAGCAATACAGGTATCTACAGAATNTACAAAGAAGCAAGAAGATGGGTCAATCAGTGAAAGTGAGGTTACACGCAGGCTATTAAGGAGGAAGGGTGCTCCTGCTAAAAATGAGAGGACTAGAGTACAGAGAAAGAAGAAATAGAGTCTTGTGTTCCTAGTTTAGTTGATGTCATTTTGTAGTTGAAGTTGAATACACCGTAGGACATATGTCATTTTGGTTGTTCACAGCACTTTATCTTCATTACATTAAACGCGAGTACTCTGATTTGCTAAAATACAATTCGCCTTTAATCTTCAAGTAATTTTGTTGAAATACCTTCAAGTTCTAGGTAATTTCTTTTTATAACTGTCATTTGTAATTAAGGTACACAGCCAAAAGATGAAATAAATACAGGAATAATATAAATAAATTATCCACAATTTATCTACAAATCATATACAAATTTTTAACAAAACTACAATTTAAGTACATTTAAACTACATTTAAATGCGTTTTAACTACAAATTAATGTCAGGACTACAATTAGACTACATTTAAAGTACATTTTAACTACAATCCGGAAATACTTTACATTGAATAAATTCTTTACTAATATCAGTTGTTTGGTATATAGTAAATATTAAAGTTTAACTAAGCTATAAAAAATGACAAATTAAGATGCCTGACAGAATACATAAAATCATATTAAACGCAAATAAAGAAATTGTATTATACTTCATAATCATCTTCAAAAACTTGAACGATTACACAAAAAACTCGGATAATTTGAACTCACTAACATTTATTTTGAATAACTATTCTAAATACATGATATTCATTTCTTTTTGGGCGCATTCTTGCAAGTTCTTTTGTTATGCCCTTCACCTCCACAATTTCCACATGACACCTTGTACTACTTTGACTTTATTTCATCAAATGTTTTATATCTTTCCTTGTGAGGTCTCCCTGGCTGCCTTTTATCTCCCGCCGGTGGCTTTACTACCTCATCCAAAATATGTTGTGGCACATCCCATTTGCTTTCATCAGGAAGAGGATTTACTGGCATTTCATAGGTAAGCAGAAGGCTCTTCCTTGTGTAATACGGAGAGCAATAGTTTTTGTATGTTTCCTTCCTGTGCCTTAATGCTGCCAAAGCATGCGCACATGGAAGTTCATCAAGTTGGAATTGTCCGTAGCTACATTTCTTGTTTTGTAGACACACAATGTACCGCTTCACACCATCTAACACAGTATGTATATTATCTGTTGAAGCCCTCACCTACAATTGAAGAACAAACAGAAATAATAATATATCAATCATTAAAAATGATTATCCACAACTTACCTACAAATCAGCTATAAATACATTACAACTTATCTACAATCTACAATTACTCACAAATTGACTACAGTTTATCTACATTCTGGAAACAATGCATATTAAGCAATTTATTTTTTTTCCCAACCAAACAAACAGATCTTACCCTTAGTTTCTGAGATAATGTATTGTTGTCATCCAATTCTTTATTGAATTTGTACCCAGGGTATGTGAAAGTACCCTTTGCCTTCAATAACTTCTCTTTCGTCCAACGTTCAAGAAGCGTCCTCATATACTCTAATAGATCATATATTGGCAGCTCTCTTGCCTCTTTTGTTACAGCATTCAACGACTCGGCAATGTTTGATGTCATAGTAAGAGTTCTATTCACTGTTGCATGTACTCTTGACCATCTATGATAGCCAATATCATATAGGTAAGATTTCACATGCGGGTCTACCTCTTCAATCTTCAACATCCTTTCATTAAATTCATCCAGAGTGTATGACCGTGCTGTAGCAAAGTACAATTCATGTAATTGTAGATGTCCCTTCTTGAATTTGGACCTTATATTTGTCCAAATATGCCACATGCAAGAGTAGTGTGGCATGCCCGGATAGACAATTGATGTTGCCTTCAGTATACTCTCATTCCTATCTGAAACAACACACATTGAAGGTCTTTCACCATATGCCTCCTTGAATTGCTCAAAGAACCACTTCCAAGACGCGTCGTTTTCAGAATCAACCGCAGCATATGCCAAGGGCAATATAGTACCTACATTTTTAATTCATAAAATATTAATTGGCAGCCCTGAAAAGGTATATAAAAATATAATTAAATAACAACTACAATATATATTCATAATATAGACAATTTATCTACATTTTTTTCTGTTAACTACAAAATAACTACGATTTAACTACATTTTGCAGACTGCCTACAAAATAACTACAAAATTATTATATTTTTTACCTGCTGCATCCATGGTGCTTGCTGTAAGCATAATCCCCCTGTAGGCTGACTTTAAGAATGTCCCATCAACAACTACTACTGGCCTACAATGTTGCCAACCACTTATTGATGTACAAAGAGCAACAAATGCGTATAAGAAGCAATCATCTGCTGCCTTCTTCAATTTAACAACAGAACCAGGATAATTCTCCTCAAGAATATAAAAATATTTGGGTAATTTGCTGTAGGAGTCAGACGGATTCCCTCTCAAAAACTGTAAAGCCTTTTCCTTGGCTCTCCATGCTTGCATGTAGCTTAGGTTCAGTCCATGTTCGGATAACATGTCAGTTTGTATGTCCTTTAGTTTGTAAATAGTCTTAGGATCACAATACTTTGGAACAACCATGCTACCAACTACAGCTGCAGTACGTTTGCGCTGTACGAATGTTTTGTCCATTAAGGAGCATGTGTGTTGTCGGCTGAAACTCCTTATCTTGAACATTGCCGAATCATTAATTGACGTTGCCTTGAAGTGCCATTTACAGTTTTTAGCAACGCATATAAGCCAGTAGCTACAAAAAAAAATACAATATTTAATACAGGCTATAGATGAAGAAGGAACAAAAAGGACTGTTTTAACACAAATTCGTCAAAAATACTATTAACTACAGTTTAACTACAATTTAACTACAATGTATAAAAACCACATATCTTCACTAAGACACTGCTTTTATTGATCTATTCTCCACAAATAAATTCATACCTTCTATGACTTGATCTTTTTACTCTGAACTGGAACTTGTGCATCACAGAAAAATTCTTCATTGCAGCAGCTACAGTTTGCTTGTCCTGATAAATTTGTCCTTCTTCAATATATGTTTGCGTAGATTCAGTTATTATTTGATTTTGATATTCCTCTATAGCTGGTGAGGATGGAATTTCAAGTAACATTAGTGATCCAGACGAACCTGCAGCAACATAGATATAAATGTAGTAACTATGCAGATAATTTTGAAAACGACATTGCTTTATGAGATTCAGTACATTGTTTTTTGTAGTTAATTTGTAGATAAATGTTGTAATATTGTAGATAACACAATAACTCTCTGCAATGTCGAATTAAACATACCTGCACTTGTGCTATTGTTGGTGATTGCCAATTCTATATTAAAATCTCTTACGCTTATACATAAAGGATACGAACCAAGTTCTTATTCTCCTTTTTGGTCTCCATATACACACGAACCCCCATATCATTCCTAATCTCCATTGGAGGACAATTGTCGTTAACAATGTATTTGATTTCTACAATTTTATCCGATGTATCAATCGATAGTTGTTCTGCAATTGTAGAAATCAGAATTCCGTAGCTTGCATTCTCATCTACCACAATGGCATCAACTTCAAAATCTCTAAATCTGCCATAGTTATCCCAATTTCCATTCAATTTTAGCATTATTGGGATTTTTGACATGATTTAGTGTAGTTGAGAGAAAAGAGATAAAGAACAGATATAGGTTCGACAATTTGAGTACTGAGGCCGATGAAGAACAATTTTGAATTCTACAATTTGTATTGCGTTGTAGAAGTTTGTAAAAGCAAATTGAGTACTGGAGCTCCTGAAGCTTGCGTTGTTTTAGAATTGTAGTGAATGAGAGAATTACGCAGCAATGAGATCTCTTTACGTTTCAAAATTCGAATTTAATGTGGAAAGAATCAAACGCAGATTTCGTGCCTTCTTTTTAGCGCGTTTTAAATGGGAGAATCTGCTTAATTATGGATTGATATATAAATTGTAGTAAAAGTGTGGACTGGGCAGGTAATTAATAAATTATGAACATNTACTTTGGACAGAATTGGAATCTCTGTGTATCATAATTGTAGTTACTTTGTAGTTAAATTGTAGAGCAAGTTATTTTGACTTATAATATTAACTGTAGTTTGAATTTGGATATTATTGAGACCTTATGTTAGTTGCTGTGTTGCATTTGTTGCTCTGTATAGTAGCTAAAGTGTAGCAATCTGTTAGATTATTTGATTGCTGCAATTGTAGTTTAAGTTGTAGCTGTTATGTAGATAATTGTGGTTATCTGTAGCTTATAGTAGATTTTATTTTATTTTTGCAGCACATTGATGTTATTATGTATTATCTGAGAAAAAGAGGCAAATATGGCCCCAACAACAACACTAGGTTCACAACAACCGATTGCTTGTTCAAGACTAAGATTGAACGGATCTATGACAAGTTCATAAGTTCTCCGCCAGAACTTAAGTATTCGGTTGTTAAATCAAATGATGATGTTGCAGAATATATTCTTGGGTATAGACTTCTTGCTAATGTTGCCTGGGATGTAGTTGACTATGTCATCATGCCTGTGAACATTGTAGAGAATTTCCATTGGTTGTTGCTCGTTTTCGACATAGCGGACAGGCAACTTTATGTTTATGATTCCATGGTGTCTTCACACCATCATAAGTCTGTTGAATCAACTGTTGATAAGTTCTCAATCATTATCCCTCTGTATTTGTCTTGCACTGGTTTCTATGGGAAACACAAAGACATTGACTTCAAGACCACAAAGGCATACATTGAGAAACCAGTTACAGACCCTCTCACCATACAGTGGATGGTTACGGAGATTCCACAGCAAAAGGAAGGATCACTGTAAAAAAATTATTCTCTCTTTCTATATGTTTAATTATTTTTTTTATAATCAATTGTTACATAATTAAAAAAATTTATTTTATGCAGCGATTGTGGTGTATTTGTGGCTGCTTTTGCGGAGTATTTAGCATTGGAGATTTGGCAATCCCAAAAGAAGACCTTTCTGATATCGACCAACACCGTAGACGCTATGGAGCTCTACTATGGGACTATGCTACAAAAAAGCAAGAAGATGGGTCAATCAGTGAAAGTGAGGTTACAGGCTAGCAAGGAGGAAGGGTGCTCCTGCTAAAAATGAGAGGACTAGAGTACAGAAAAAGAAGAAATAGAGTCTTGTGTTCTTAGTTTAGTTAATGTCATTTTGTAGTTGAAGTGGAATACACTGTAGGAAATATGCCATTTTGGTTGTTTACAGCACTTTATCTTCATTATATTAAACTTGAGTACTCTGATTTGCTAGAATACAATTTGCCTACAATTAATCTTCACATAATTTTTATGAAATACCTTCAAGTTCTAGGTAATTTCTGTATATAACTGTCAGTTGAAATTAAGTTACACAACAAACAGATGAAATAAATACTCAAATCATATAAATAAATTATCCAGAATTTATCTATAAATCATCTACAAATTATTACCAAGACTACAATTTAACTACATTAAAACTACATTTTAACTACAATCTGGAAACACTTTACATTACAGTTACTTTATTAATATCAGTTGTTTTGTATATAATAAATATTAAAGTTTAACTAAACTATAAAAAAGACAAATTTAGATGCCTGACAGAATACACAAAATCATATTAAACGCAAATACACAAATTGTAGTATACTTCATAATCATCTTCAAAAACTTAAACGATTACACACAAAAATCGTATAATTTGAACTCACTAACATTTATTTTGAATAACTATTCTAGCTACATGATATTCATTTCTTTTTGGGCGCATTCTTGCAAGTTCTTTTGTTATGCCCTTCACCCACAATTTCCACATGACACCTTGTACTTCTTTGACTTTATTTCATCAAATGTTTTATATCTCTCCTTGTGAGGTCTCCCTGGCTGCCTTTTATCTCCCGCCGGTGGCTTTACTACCTCATCCAAATTATGTTGTGGCACATCCCATTTGCTTTCATCAGGAAGAGGATTTACTGGCATTTCATAGGTACGCAGAAGGCTCTTCCTTGTGTAATACGGAGAGCAATAGTTTTCGTATGTTTCCTTCCTGTGCCTTAATGCTGCCAAAGCATGTGCACATGGAAGTTCATCAAGTTGGAATTGTCCACAGCTACATTTCTTGTTTTCTAGACACACAATGTACGGCTTCACACCATCTAACACAGTATGTATATGATCTGTTGAAGCCTTCACCTACAATTGAAGAACAAACAGAAAAAATATTATATCAATCGTTAAAAAAGATTATCTACAACTTACCTACAAATCAGCTACAAATACACTACAACTTATCTACAATCTACCATTACCCACAATTTGACTACAGTTTATCTACAATCTGGAAACACTGCATATTAAGCAATTTATTTTTTCTGCACCAAACAAACAGATCTTTCCCTTAGTCTCTGAGATAATGTGCTGTTGTCCTCCAATTCTTTGTTGAATTTGTACCCAAGGTATGTGAAAGTACCCTTTGCCTTCAATAACTTCTCTTTCGTCCAACGTTCAAGAAGTGTCCTCATATACTCTAATAGATCAAATATTGGCAGCTCTCTTGCCTCTTTTGTTACAGCATTCAACGACTCGGCAATGTTTGATGTCATAGTAAAATTCCTATTCACCGTTGCATGTACTCTTGACCATCTATGATAGCCAATATCATATAGGTAAGATTTCACACGCGGGTCTACCTCTTCAATCTTCAACATCCTTTCATTAAATTCATCCAGAGTGTATGCCCGTGCTGTAGCAAAGTACAATTCATGTAATTGTAGATGTCCCTTCTTGAATTTGGACCTTATATTTGTCCAAATATGCCACATGCAAGAGTAGTGTGGCATGCCCGGATAGACAATTGATGTTGCCTTCAGTATACTCTCATTCCTATTTGAAACAACACATATTGACGGTCTTTCACCTTATGCCTCCTTGAATTGCTCAAAGAACCACTTCGAAGACGCGTCGTTTTCAGAATCAACCACAGCATAGGCCAAGGACAATATAGTACCTACATTTTTAATTCATAAAATATTAATTGGAAGCTCTGAAAATATATATAAAAATATAATTAAATAACAACTACCATATATATTCAGAATATAGACAATTTATCTATATTTTTTTGTGTTAACTACAAAATAACTACAATTTAACTACATTCTACAAAATAACTACAAAACTTTTATATTTTTTACCGGCTGCATCCATGGTGCTTGCTGTCAGCATAATCCCCCTGTAGGCTGACTTTAAGAATGTCCCATCAACCACTACTACTGGCCTACAATGTTGCCAACCACTTATTGATTTACAAAGAGCAACAAATGCGTATAAGAAGCAATCATCTGCTGCCTTCTTCAATTTAACAACAAAACCAGGATAAGTCTCCTCAAGAATATAAAAATATTTGGGTAATTTGCTGTAGGAGTCAGCCGGATTCCCTCTCAAAAAATGTAAAGCCTTTTCCTTTGTTCTCCATGCTTGCATGTAGCTTAGGTTCAGTCCATGTTCGGATAACATGTCAGTTTGTATGTCCTTTGGTGTGTAAACAGTCTTAGGATCACAATACTTTGGAACGACCATGCTACCAACTACAGCTGCAGTACGTTTGCGCTGCATGAATGTTTCGTCCATTAAGGAGCATGTGTGTTGTCGGCTGAAACTCCTTATATTGAACATTGCGGAATCATTAATTGACGTTGCCTTGAAGTGCCATTTACAGTTTTCAGAAACGCATATAAGCCGGTAGCTACAAAAAAAATACAATATTTAATACAGGCTATAAATGTTGATGCAACAAAAAGGATTGTTTTAACACAAATCGTTATAAACTACAATTAACTACAATTTAAATACAATTTAACTACAATTTAAATACAATTTATAAAAACTACATATCTTCACTAAAACACTGCTTTTAATGATCTATTCTCCACAACTAACTCCATACCTTCTATGACTAGATCTTTTTACTCTGAACTGGAACTTTTGCATCACAGAAAAATTCTTCATTGCAGCAGCTACAGTTTGCTTGTCTTGATACACTTGTCCTTCTTCAATATATGTTTGCGTATATTCAGTTATTATTTCACTTTGATATTCCTCTATAGCTGGAGAGGATGGAATTTCAAGTAACTTTAGGGATCCAGACGAACCTGCAGCAACGTAGAGATAAATGTAGTAACTATGTAGATAATTTTGAAAACAACAATGCTTTATCCTCTTCAGTACATTGTTTTTTGTAGTTTAATTGTAGGTAAATGTAGTAATACTGTAGATAACACACTAACACCATAACTCTCTGCAATGTCGAATTATACAAACCTGCACTTGTGCTATCGTTGGTGATTGCCAATTCCATATTGAAATCTCTTACACTTATACATAAAGGATACGAACCTAAGTTTTTATTCTCCCTT